GGGGTCAGAAGACTGGGCCCAGCCTGGGGCCCCCAACTTCTGGCTCTGTGACCTCAAGCTTGTTACCTCTCTGTAAACCCAGGACTACAAATGCTGACTCACAGGATCTGTGTAAACAATCAGGCCGGTGCCCAGCACATGAGTGAGGATCCATGGGGCCTGGTGGCTGCCACCCAGCTCCGGAGAGCTCAGAGAGCACCACCCACAGGGGCGGGTATTTTTATGTTCGAAGGAAGAGCTCAACTCAACCTCCACGCATACCCCAACACCGCTCCACTCAGCCCCTCCGAGGCCCGGCCCTGCTGTGGGCTGGCTGGTGTGCCCTGCAGATGGACCTGCCCCATTTCACATCCTCTGGTCTCAGCCTCACCCTCTCCCTCGGAGGAGATGTGAGCAGGAACGGCTCAATCAGGATATAATCATTTTTAATTAACGTGCAGATCATTTCACAGGCTGATCTCCTTGGAGACCAGAGGGAAGACAGTCTTTTAAGATTTTCTTTTGCCTTCCTCTATCCACCCTCCAAACTGAAGGCTCCCCCACCCTTTCACCCACCCCGCACAACCTTGAAAGCAGCTTAAAAAGCCCGCTGCCTGGATTCCTCTGGGGCCATCAGGAGAGCGTGTGCTCACACAGTCACACAGGAACGTGCCCAAGCTTGGGGCATGCTCTCCAGAAATGCACAAACGGGAACAGAGACAGGGCACATTCAGACAGGGACACACAGATTCGCACACACAGGCATGGATGCGTGCACACGTGCCAAAGCTGCAAGGCACAGAGACCCCTTAAGAAATATGCAAACAGAATCTGACACACACACATGTGGGCACACACATGCCCAGGCTGGCAGGCACACCAACCCCCAAGAATACACAAACAGGATCAGACACACACACACGTGCGCACACACACACACACACGCACACACAGATGTGCAGGCACCTACAGGGACACACCCAAGCACAGAGGCACATCACAGAAATGCCCAAATACCCATCCTCACAGAGGGCTGCTCTACGCTCCACGGCTGGTGGGCATGCGGGCAGGAGGCGAACAGAAGGTCCCTTCCCTGCGACGGGAAGTCAGAGCCACAATGACTTGCCCCTGCCAACACCCTGGTCCCAGCCCCAACGCTCAGGGGCCCTGCCACCTCTCCTGATGGGGAGCCCATGAGCAGGGAAGTCACCAAGGTCTTGCCTCCCTGTCACCTGGGTGCACCTGGGATCTTTCTGAGCCCCGGACCCTCCCCCCGAAACAGCCCTGGCAGAGCCCCTGGATATCTAACGTTTCCTGGCCATCCAACCCTGGCCCCCCCAATACCCATACAGGGAGGATGTCCCCCAACTTCTCCTCTGGGGGAGGGATTTTCTCTCTTCTTTCTTCATTCTAAATAACCTCCCCTTTCTCTTTTCTAGCCCCTTCCTTTTTCTCCATTGTCTCCCCTCCTTTCTTTTCTCTCTCCTTTGTCTCATCCTCTTCCTCTCCCTCCCCAGGGGGCCTCCTGGGGTCAATCTAAGGTCAGAGGGAGAGTTTCAGATGTAGCTGGTCCTTCCCCTCCCCCACAGGGGGTACCTGTGCAACACCTGCCCCCAAGTCCTAACAGATCCAGACTTTGCTCGTTGGACAAGAAAACTGAGGCACAAGGGAGGGGCAGAGCCACTGGGGTCCTCTGACCTCTGCAAGTCTCGCCCCTCTCGCTGCACCTGCTTTGGATTCTTGGCTTTTCCTCTGGAAAACGGGATGGCAAAGAGGAAGGGTGAGGTGTGTGGGGGGATGACCACAGGGATCGCATGGCTGGCCAATGGCAGGCTGGTAACTTGGGTGACCCCAGATCCTGTGGCCACAGCCCGCGAGTGTGACACAGAAGGGCTTGGGAGCCCATCTCAGTTGGAGGCATGCTGGGTGCTTCTCTCCACTCTGGGGGTCTCAATGTTCCCATCTGTGAGGTAGACGAGGTCCGGCTAGAGGAGCCCTAGGGACTCTCACGATGCAAAACCAACATGGCAGACCAGTAGCCCATCCCTGGCGGCTGCAGGGCCCAGCGACTGACTGCGGTGTGACCTTGGGACTCCCTCCCTTCTCTGGGCTCCCGTCACCTCCTCTGTCAAAGGAGGAGGGTTAAACAGGTGATTCACTGCCAAGGCTCCTTTTGGGTCTCATAGAAGGTTCTAGATTGTGCTAGAAGGAAAGAGAATCAAGTGCCCCTTCTCCGGGAAAAATGAGAGGCTCGTTTCTTTTACTGCAGGCACGTCGGAGCCTTTGGCATCAGCAGAATCATTTTTAGGAAATCATCTTAAACATCAAAAAAACCTTTCTGCACAAAAATATATCCTCTACCTCATTCATCAGGAGCATCCAGAATGCTGAGCAAAAGGGGAATATTAAGTAAATTATGGCACATCCACCAGATTGGAAGAGCCTGGAGACATGGTGTTTATGACAAGCTGGTTGCAAAACAGGAAAAGCCCGCTGTTAGCGTGCCAAAGGAGAGTGCAGGACACACAGCGGACGGACGGAGAATGACGACGGAGCCTTTGACAACAAGCCGACCGCCAGCCACAGGGCTGCAGAGGCTGCACCCGCACATCCCGCCGTCACAGCGCAGAGGCTCAGTGCCCTCTTTGTTTCTTTCCATTTTTCAGATGTTCTATGAACCATATTTTAAAAAGGTCCTTTTCTTTAAAAAAAAAATAGGCTAAACCCCTCCAATTGAGAAGCCTTCCTCATTCATTCATTCATCATTACTGATCCATTCACTCCTGTGTTGGTCTAGTCAAAGCCCAGGGCCCATCCTGTGCCAGGCCTCAGGGCTCTAAGATCCCCAGGGACTGGTTCTCACCAGCAGGAAACGGAAATTCGGAAATTCGGGGTGGGTGGGGAAGAGGGAAGACAGCCCCTCAAATACCTACACATCAGGGGCTTGTGCCTAACCGGGGTGCTTTCTCCTGGGAGTGAGGAGAAATCAATCCTGCCCCCTACTGGGCCCTGGCCCCCTATGACCTCACCCAGCTCTGCCCTCGGCACCTAGGGTCTCACAGTCCGGCCTAAGGGTCAGAAACTCACCCTTACCCACCCAGCCTCTAGCTGTGGGTGGTGGTGGGGAAATGGGGGCAAGTGCAGAAGTGCCCCCCCCCAATCCCTATGATTCCCCTTCCAGTTCCGGTGGACCTGCCAAGTCAGGGAGCCCTTTTTCAAAGCCCCAGGGCCACATCCCCCCCCCAAAACCCTCTCTGGCTCTTATTTCAGGCTCCTGCTCGCGGCAGCGCCAGGCGTCGGCTAGCTCCCCCCTTGCTAGCAAGTCAAAGCGTCCTGCTCCCCGTTCCTGCCATGTGGGGCGAGAGAGCTGGGGAACCCTCTCTATTCCTGGACCAAG